TGTGAATTTCATTAGAGGAATAATTTTTAAGATATTTCTGTCTACTTGTTCATCTGTCCATTTACTTTATTTGTCTGTATCGGTTTATCTGTTCATTCTTTATCTGTTTATCTGTATATTATATATATATATATATATTATATATATATATATATATATATATATATATATATATATATATATATATATATATATATATATTATATATATGCTCTATCTCTATCCCTCCACTCCTCCTTCTCTTCCTTCTCCTCCTCTTCCTCCTCATTTTCCTCCCCCTTCCTCCTCTTCTTTCTCCCCCCCCCTCTACCTTCTTCTCCCTCCTCCTCCTCCACTTCCTCCTCCTACCCTTCCTCTTCCTCCTCCCCCTCCTTCTTCTTCTTCTTCTCTTCCTCCTCCTCCACCCCTTCCTACTCCTCCTCCTCCTCCTCTATAACCATAGGACTATGAATCACATCCAACCACAAAAAAAGGAAGACAAATTATATTCTTTAACAACCCGACCTCTTATCCGGTAGAAAAAAACGTATATATATCGCCGCGTGACAGACGATTAAAGAAAGAGAGAGAGAAAAAAAACGGACAGAGTTCAGAATTTAGAGCAGCGCGCATGACGAATCCGTGATCGTTGTCTCCTAAAATTTCACATCCGGAAAAGATTTTCGTCTGTCTTTCTTCCGCAGTTTTTTTTTTTTCTTTCTTTCTTTTTTCTTCTTCTTCTGTCAGAGGTCGGTTTCTCGTTGAGTCATGTCAGAAAAAACATGTGCCCAGCGGCGTATGTTGCCCGCGCAGGTGGCCTTGGGTTGAGGGAAAGGAGGGGTGGGGGTGGGAGGAGGGGGCAGTGACTCAATGAAACGAACGCTAAGAGTGAGAGTGAGGGCGGGAGAGTAAGGGAGGGGGAGGGGGAGGGAAGGGGGTGAAAGGGAGAGGAGGGAGAGAGAAGGGAGTGGGGAAGAAAGAAACGAGACAGACAGACACACAGAAAGACAAACAGACAGACAGAAAAATAGCGACAGACTGCTCGATAGAGAATGATATCCGTGTGCGTGTGAAAGTGAGAGTGCGGGAGAGAGTTTGATAAAGAGATAGAGAGAGAGAGAGCGAAACAGAGACAGCCGATCAGCCAACCAGACAGAGAGAGCCCAGTCAACCACACAAAAAAGACAGACAGACAGACTGACCGACAGCCAGCCAAAGCCTTCCTTTTTTCGAGCCCAAACAAAGGCGAATAACAAGCTCACGAAGCGAATGCACGTGTGACAATTAAATCTATCTGATGATCCTTCCCAATCCACGGCTTCTTATTCACAGATAATCATCCATAATCATTCTCCCCCTTTCTTTCACACCCTACTACCCCCCCTCGCCCCCTCTGCCCCCCTACCCTCGCCCTCTCTCCCTACGTATACGCTTATCTCATTTATCACGCAATCGCCTCACCAGATTCCACCGGTTGGGGTTATCTGCGACAATTATTTAACTCCAGAAACCGAAGACGTTTAAAATTAACTGCATTAGTATTGTAAACTGATATGCCACGTGTTTTTAAAGTTGATCTTCTGCATATACTTTCTTAGGATGGTACGTTATTTGTTTTCTTGGTACTGAGATCAGTGTGATTTTCCTTATCAGTGTTTTTTTCCTATCTGTGTTTTATGGCAGTCTTGATACAGGAAACGATTGTTCATGTTCAGTGTGACAATGATCGAATGATTGTTTCTATGATATATATGTGTGTGTGTTTTTATGTTTATATATATATATATATATATATATATATATATATATATATATATATATATATATATATATATATCCATATACATTCTCTACATGTTTCATAGATCTTATCTATTTACTGTTTATTTACGAATTAATTTATAATATGTGCCATGTGTGTTCTCTTGTTGCCATGTTAGATATGATATTAATGAATTTGTTTTGCATGTTTGAAGATAATATTTACAGGCTTCCAGGATCTCTGCCACCGATCATGCACAGCCCACCCGAAGAACATGTTAGAAAAAGAGGAGGATTAGGAATTGGAGAAAGAGAAGAAGGGGGAGGAGGAGAAGGAGAAGGTGGAGAAGGAGGAGAAGGAGAAGGCACAGGAGGAGGAGGAAGAGGAGAAGGCACAGGAGGAGGAGGAGGAGAAGGAACAGGGGGAGAAGTAGGAAGAAAAAGAGTAAAAGGAAGAGGAGAAAAGGTACAATGAAGGAGAGGTAGAAAGAGGAGAAGTGAAAAGAGAAAGAGAGGCCCTTGGAAGCAGCTCCGCCCGTGTGCGACGCAGCCAGAGCCCGGCCGAACGTGACCAGAGGAAGGCAGGCAGGCGAATGCTCTCTGAATTGGCCCCCTCTATGAGAGCTCATGATCCCGCCCTTTGACACGACGACTCCGGGGGCGCTGAGAGGGTCGCCTTTGCAAAGGTCGTCTCTCGGCGGAGTTATGACCGGTGCTCTTCGCTCGGCTTGGCTCGCGTCCGCGTGCTTTCGTCTCGTTGCTTTCGTGCCCAGATTGCGTTCGTGCTTGATCGCTTCTGCGGGTGCTAGAAGGGGCATGATAAGGATAGGCATGCGATAAGGATAAATGAAGGATTGGACGATAAGATCGAGATATAGGATAAAAAAAAAAATGAAGATAGAGGGACAGCGATCAGGAAGCGAATGATGCAAGTTCGCGCGATCGCTCGAGCCTCGTCGGGTCGTGCAGGAGGCCCCATTCTCCTCGCCCTCATGAACGCGATAAGAGCGACGTTGCCCCGTTGATAGCCGTTGCATACGGGTAGCCTTGCAACACGGGAGGCAGCGGGCATTGGATTCATGCTTAGACCTGAGATAAAAAGGGAAAATTGGGGTAGTTGGCCGAGGGATGGGTACGAAAGCATGTAACTTGGAGATTGCTTTTAGCCAGAGGAAGGGTCGTGCGGTACAGGCTCGGTTCGTTTTTTTTTTTTCTTCTTTTTGGGGTTCCTTTGAGGGCCAGTCTGTCTGTCTTTCTATCTGTCTGTGTCTTTGCTTATCTGTCTGTCTGTCTACCATGCAGATAGACATCTATCTTCTCTATATATCTATCTGTCTGCCTGTCTGTCGATTTATCTATCTGCCTCAGTCTGTCTCTCTCTCTCTCTCTCTCTCTCTCTCTCTCTCTCTCTCTCTCTCTCTCTCTCTCTCTCTCTCTCTCTCTCTCTCTCCTCTCTCTCCTCTCTCCCTCCCTCCCCCCTCCCTCCCTCCCTCCCTCCCTCCCTCCCTCCTACTTCTTTATTCCTTATTCCCCATTTTATTCATTATTTTCCTTCCTCTGAGCAACAACACCCCAAGGGCCTTCGCATTCCTCAAGCACATTGTGAGGCGGCAGGTGCCTCCACAACACATGTCTGTTGCCGTGTCCAACCTGCTGTTGATTTGTGGCTTGAATTGATTCATATCTCTCTCCTGCATCATTAATTATTCTTGCGCTATACTCCGTGATCATTCCGGTTTGGCATCACCTTCATTGCGAATGCAGACTGCACTCGCAATATCAGCGTGAAGGATTTGAGAGCCGATTTCAGTTTCCCTAAAATGAGACTTCTACACGACTGAAACGTTCACCTGCGCCGATTATTCTAAGTCTACCTGAAGTCATGATAAGCAACAACACTTGATACACTGCATTATCAACACATTCTATTGACATCCACGGTGGGGACGCCTCAGAATCAATCAGTTGTATTAACTTCCTCTTTTGCTGTGATGGATGTTCATGCAATAGGCTCTTTATTATTTTCACTCTGTAGATGTTCTTTTCAGAAAGAACCGTCAAAATGACACTAATCGAAGCTGAATAGATAAACACTATCAAATTCATCATCATTACACTCGAAAGAAGACTGGTTTATCATCTCATCACGATTTATACCCTGTTGCTCTGAGCAGTACGAGGGATTTCGTCTCCATGCCGTTTCGTCTGAAAACGGAAAAACAGTCTTGTATCGCAGTTCTTTGTACTCACTATAACCCGCTGCCAAAACGCGTATACACATCGAATGGTGTCCCTATGTCTTGACCAAACCCGCCTCGCCCTGCCGAGTCCCCAGCAAAGACCAGTCTCGCAATCTCCCTTAACGCGGCTTCAAGGGAGTGACAGCGACATGCATTGCGCCGCCGTCTCCTGTCATCACTTTCCTTGACCGATAGTTTAGCATTGACGGGTGTCATGGCGAAGGGGCGCGCGAGTGGCGCGGGCGGCCCAGCGGGTAAAAACTCGAAGGTCAGAGTTGATTTCGGAAGTGTTTCATTGGCGTCCATCTGGGTCTTGCGGCATCAGCCTCTAGATCAATTTAGATAATTGCAAATGAAGTGGAGATGTCTTGAGGACAGATTATGTGTAAAATGTGAGTCTGGGGCGCGGGGGGCTTGGCCGCTGGTCAACGTTGGAGGCGGGGCCCCGTGGTCAGGGGGCGTGTCCTCTGGATCCCGTCTTATATAAACGCCGCGGGAGTAGACTAAGCATACACAGTCGCTACTGCTCTCCTCAAGCCACTCACTTTATCGCTCCCGCTCGCACAGCCTGGTCCACGTGGCCCGCACGCACCTTGTAGCTTCTTTGCCAACGTCTTGAACTTGTGTTGTTGCTGGTGGCACCGAAGCCGAGTGCCTAGAGAAGGATGCGCGCCATAGTGCTCATATCCTGGGCCCTCCTGATGGGGGCCGTGTGCGCCGACACCCCCGGCCTGGGCTTCACCACGACCACCACCCTCGCGCCCAACGTGCCCGACTCAGCCTCCCTGGCCGAGTGGCACTCGTCCACGCTATGGATTATTGTGATCGGCTTCATCCTCGCCTTCACACTTGCCTTCGGCGTGGGCGCCAACGACGTGGCCAACGTGTTCGGGACCAGCGTAGGAGCCAAGGTGCTAACGCTGCGGCAGGCTTGCATGATCGCGACAGTGGCTGAGGTCCTGGGAGCCGTCCTCATCGGTAAGTGAACTTCGCTGACTCTGTCCTTCTGCCCTTCCGCAGGTTCCCGCTCCGAGCTCGTCGCCCGTTGCTCGCTGCTGCCTCTCAGGAGACGCTCTTCTGTGACACATACTTTCCCCCTCCAACTTTCTCACTTTGTCAGTGCTGCTCTCCCACAGATAAAGTTACAGTCCAGTCTCACACACTAAGGCCCCCTCAGATCGTCTCTTTCAAACACGCCCCTTCAGTCCCAGAGCACAAGCCTCGCCCAGTCACACCCCGTAGCCAAATAGCCTCCCCCGAACACTTCAGAAAACCCAACACTCGACCCTCCCCCTCACACAACACCTAAAATGGAACCGTTCGCGGAGGAGCTTCTGCCCTTCGTCATCGCGGGCTTTTTCATAGCCTTCGTGCTGGCCTTCGGTGTGGGAGCCAATGACGTGGCCAACTCCTTCGGGACTTCGGTGGGCTCCGGAGTTCTCACACTCCGAAAGGCCTGTCTGCTCGCCACTGTGTTCGAAGTGCTCGGAGCCATCCTCATAGGTAAGTAGCCCGGCCGAGTGCTGGGAACGCCGGCGACCTGCATCTCCGAAGGAAACCCAAGTAGACTTTATTTTCTTGCATTTTCTCACATTCGGTTTATAAGGAGTTTGGATGATTCAGGGCATATCAAGTAAGCGTTATATTCCCGTTTAGAAGAAGCGGACTAATGGTAGGCATTTTTGGCGGGAAAGAAGTAAACCACCAGACTTGGCGCGCGGAACAGAAATTCACCCAACTTTGTATCTTTCTGTTGTTGTTGCACACGTTCGCCGTCACAGCTCCGTCGGATTAAAGTAAAACGTTTGTGATTCAGTGCTTAGTGTTTTCTGCGGAGATAAAGTTCTAGAATTTACTTCGGCAACTACACTGTGTTAACCTGCTTTTAGAAGTTTGAATATTAAAATGTAATAACGAGAAGTTAAAAATCCGGAAGAGATGCTCAAATCACTCTCTATATCAGAAGAAAAACATACAAACACTTGACCTAGAATGCACATCCTACCCAAGATTAGGCTCAGTTTGTTATCAGATAACATCTTTTAATGTAGGTTGGGATCGCGCGTAATTTCAGTAAATATCTGAATATATATTTTTCGAAGGAGCAGCGCTCGCCACTACGCCACCCCGAGTTGATTCTCCTCGTCTTCCGTAACTTTTCAAATAAAACCCGGAAGAGACTCGTGGATATTTGCTGCAGACAGAGATCTTATCGATGCCGGATTCCTTATCGGCGTTAGATAAGTCTTAATTGCACGCCTGCGGGAGGTGTGACCCTTGTTCCGCTCGAGCTGCGTCGTCCCCGCGCGTGGGCCGGCGTGAGGCTGCGAGGCCCGAAAGGTCATCAACATGCGGAATTCGACGCGTTTTTCTTTTCCTTTTTTCCCGATCGAGTCCGTTTACGCCATGGCCGCTCCGGGGTTCGTTTTCCCTCGTGCGGCTCCGGCCTCGCTCGGCCCGCCGGTTCTTCTATCCCGAGCGAAAGAGAAGTCTAAAAGGAGGAAAAAATACCGGGAAAAAATACCAGCGATCCTCCAGCGAGCGAGGGAGAATTGCGTTAGCCCGCCGTTCAGCATGGCCCTAATGGCCACCTTGCCCTGGGCGCGGAGGCGTACACTCAGCCCATCTAGTTCTGTCAGACTCAACTCAGGGGGTGAGTCAAGAGGAGGTGAATATGACACATAAAACGCTAAGTGGGATAAAAAAAAAAAAAAAAAAAAGTAGTGATTCAAGACGAAGTAGAAATGTCACCTAAACACCGCATGGGAGATAAATTTAATCGGATAAATGTTTCATAATCAGCTGGCGTCTGTAAGTGATGAGTCAAGACCAGATGAGCGTGTCACATCAAACGCCCTCGAGAGGGAGTTCTAAACCGACAGACTCTTGACGGCTGAGCTGTTCCGCTGATCCGAAGCCTCCCCCTGATTCCCCCTGATGGATGAGGACACTGATCCAGATCCAGCAAGCGGCCACGCCGAGGCAAAATGCATTCATCTTCCCTCAATTGCCTTATTAAACACGTGGCTTTTCCCGCAGCGATTGCCTTCGCCAAACACCCCAGTTCCTGCTTGCGGTGTTTGATGTCAATTCCACAATTGCAGGTCGTAATGGCTGTCTCCTGCAGCCCGGCCGCTCGCATTCACCTACATTCATCTTCTCATTAGCTCCCTCAGAGGGGACTGATCGAGGCTAGTTGTAGCAATTCAGGAATTTGACCCGCGGAGCCGCCATTCATAGTTTCAGCCGGGGATTCGATCTGAAAGGCGTCCGTCATCTGCGTGTTCGAAGCGCGTTTTATAACGCCCCCTTTGCTTTCATGTAGATTTCAGTCTCAAAGCTTAAAACAATAATGATAAAGATACAACATCAAAAGATCCTTATTTATCATATAAAGCGCCCGCCCCCTTATTTCCAAGTAGAAATGCTAACCGCCAAAACGCCAGAGAAAAACCAAAAGCATCACTAGCCAAAAGAAATAGAACTACAGCATCCCCCGCCATTACGTAACGAAGCTCTCGGGGCCGCCTGTCCGACAACCGCCTCGATTGCTTCCCACGCCATCAGTCATTCACAAAATTCGCGCGGTGACGGTCGCTACGGTACGGCGGCTGGGGCGCTAACGGGGTCTAGGGCAGCCACTTGCCTGCGCCCTGACCGGAGGGGGTGAGGGTGAGGGTGGAGAATGTTGGGGAGGGAGGGAGGGAGGGAGGAAGACTGTGGCGTGATGCGTTGAGAAGAGGGGCGTCTGGGAAGGGGTAGGGAGGGGGGTTCAAGGTTGTTGGACCTCTCCCTCTTCTCTCTTACCCCTCTCCTCCACCTCCCCATCTCTTCCCCTTCTGCCCCCTCCCTCTCCCACTTCTCCTTTTACCCCCTTCTTTCTTTTCCCTCTTCTTCTCCTACTTTCGTGGTCTTGATAAAATTGGTGAACACGTAAATGTATATATTTTCTCTCTCCATTCTCATTCTTCCTCTGTCTATTTTTATGTCCTTCCTTTACTCTCCCACTGTCTTTTCTTTCTTCCCTCTCCTTATCTCTCTCTCTCCTATCTTTCCGTCTTTCCACTCCCTCTTACCTATTTCTTTCCACAGTAGATCTCTCTCACACACACGCACACACACTCACACTCACACTCACACACACTCACACTCACACTCACACTCACACACACACACACACACACACACACACACACACACACACACACACACACACACACACACACACACACACACACACACACACACACACACACACACACACAACAAAACCACAAAATTTGGACTGGAATCTTTTGTCCTGTCTTCTCTAGTAGGTTGTCAGGGTGCCGTGTGCAAAAGCGAGGCGAATGACCGCCACAAGGAGAGCGGGGAGGAGAGGAGGAGAAGAGGAAGGCGGGGAAGGAAAGAGAGGAAAAACTACGATCTTCTCAAGGCCGTTCAGTTGAAAGAAGACACGTTCATTTAGGCCTAAGCGGGAATGTCGTCCTTCTCTTTGTCGTGTGAGCGCTTTGACATTTATTCATTCATTGAAAGTCGTTTTATTTATACATCGACTCCTCTAGTGATCAATAATGTAAAAAAAGATCAGCGCGAAAAGCTGTTTTTATCAAAGCAGCCCGTAACGTAAAACTCGCCCTAGTGTATTTTTAACTCTACAACCTCAAAAATCAGGCGAAGATTTAGCAAGAAAACGGAATTAGGCATTGACACGCAGAAGCCGGGGAGAGGGCGGCCGCGGCGAGGACGTGCGCGGGACGAAACAAAGTGGCATCGGCGGAAGTCCTGTGAAAAGGGCACCGCGTCGGGGGTTTTAGGGAGGGGGGGAGGGGAGAGGAGAGTTGGGGGGGAGGCGACGGCGGGGGAGGAGGGCGAGGGCGTGGATGAGGGTGCCAAGCTGCCATTACGTCAGCGACCACGGGACCAAGGCATTCCGGAACGGATTTTGTGACTGCGCTGTGTCACAACCCGGTCAGATGTGTCCGCCGATTCTGACAAGAAGCTGTTCGCCGTTAACTAGGCGTTCGGTGCTCAGACATCAGGCAGTTAACTTAATATACAGCTTTGGTTTGACGTCACGCTCTTCACTTATTATGTATGACAATATGTTCAGACTACAGGACGTCAGATGTATTTGCATGTTTTAATACGTTAGTCATATGTTCATTTAAATGCAGCTGATTAGCATAAAATATTACGTTTATAAATGTCCTCAAGTGTCGATGTGGTTTTGATTAATCGCGTTCAACTTTCATGTATTCATTTGATGCTGTAGCGATTCCAAGTAGAAGCGTCGAAGCATTGCTCAGTTAACTATGAGAAAAACGTAATATTAAAACTCGTCTTTCTTATGAATTGCTATGTAAAGATTATAAACATAAGCGTCCGTGTGCCATAAGGCGCTTTGGCCGTCGCTTTCTCTCTTATGTAAATTGACTTCTCACTTCCCGCGAGACCAAGTTGTACAGGTACTAAATGTTCTCAACCTATTCATGGCAGTGTGACAACTTTTTTTTTCTCTCGCTGTGTCTTGTTGTGTTCAACTATTTTTTTTTTTTCTTTTCTTTTCTTTCCGAGGCCACTCTAAGCCGAAATCGCCTGAATTCCAAATTGCCGCCAAACCCATAAATGAACCGCGGGACCGAAGCTCCGAGCGGGAAAAGGGGTTCATGAGAAGAGTCGAGATAGTTTATTTCTCGAATTCAAATGTTAACGAGTCGAATTATGCATCAGATTTGAGACTTTTTTTCTTTCTCTTTTTTCTCAGACTAATTCTGTACGCGCAAGTTGCTTCAGCTTGCGATTTCTCAGTATTTATAGCCAGCATATATGCGGATTCATGGTTCATGAAGTATGAATACCCAAAGGTTATTTATGTATTACTTGCGACTGTGAGTTAGTGAGAGACAGAGAGAAAGAAAGAAAGAAAAGAGAGAGAGGCAGGCTGTGTCTGCCTTGATCTAAAAACTCGCTAAACTAGACCTTGTTCCCTGAAGGACACCTCTGGTTTGATTATTATTTTCTCATTCCTTACTTAATCTATGCCTTGAACTTCTGCCTAACCGTTAATAGTCAAGGCCTCCTTAACACATACAAGAGGGCAGAAAAAGATACATTTAGAACATGTTGCATGGTAACAATGTGACCGACGCCAACATAGAGGCCTTGGCGTTGCATTCTAGAAAAAGTTTTCTTATTCATACCCAAGTGCTAATCAGTCCTCCCTCATTCGCGGGTATGAAGAACTGAATATCATTAATTCAAACTTGCTGTCATGTTGTTTTCTGTCACCTTATCTCGCCGATGCATTTGAGGATTTTTTGTCTATTTTCTTTGGGTCTGTTTCCCTCTGCCGAAAGGAATACAAGAGAGTAACGATCATCGGTTTCTTCCGCAGGATATAAAGTGTCGGACACGGTACGGAAAGGAATCTTGGATGTTTCCCTCTACAACAACACCGAGAAGGAGCTCATGCTGGGGTCCCTGGCCGCCCTTGGTGAGTCCCTCTGAAACACTCTTCGCTGCTTTGTAAGTCCTTTGTGTAGTCCTTCAGTTTCTTTCGAATTTCCACATTCTCTCCACTTAAAAGAAAGAAAATCCCCCTTACCTTTTTTTTTTTTTCTTTCTCACATTTTCTCCCCACTTATAGAATCCTTTTTTGTCTCCCAAACAACCTGTGTAAGTTGGTGTTGTCTTTTCACAGTTCAGACCTTTTTTCCTCCTCTAAGTCCCTCTAAGTCCTTTGAGCTTAAAGTATCTTCTTTAAGATCCTTTTGGTGTCTTCTGTTGATAGTTGTTCGGCGAAATCTAAATAACACTTCTCTTTTGTATAGGATTAAAACAACTGCTTGCGTGACTAACCTCGTTGAGTGCTTACTACCTTCTTGGTTGTTTATTATTGCTAAATGGTCCTTCATATCTATGGAAAGTTATTTCCACCAAATTATATATATCAGTGAAGAAAATGATTGCAATCCATAACAAAACATGAATTTGTTGAGCCGTTTCCTGATGATAGAGAAAGTGAATCATTCAAAGAGATAACCTGATATCAAACTCCCTATCACACAAATCACATTCTCGCTTTCGCTACGACGGTTTCTCGATGCATATTCCTAACCCGCCCTTCCTTTCCCTCCCACGCGCCTCCTGCAGGTGGCAGCGCCATCTGGAACCTCGTGGCCACCTTCTTCAAGCTCCCGATCTCCGGCACCCACACCATCGTCGGCGCCACCGTCGGCTTCTCCCTCTGCGCACGTGGCTTCGACGGCGTCAACTGGACCACCTTCGGAAAGATCGGTAAGGGATTGCTCATAGATAGATAGATGGATAGATAGGTGAACAGATATAAGTGTAGAGAGATACATTTAGGCATTATCTCGGGCATTGAGGTTTAAATGGGGGGGGGGGGAGAAGAAAATGAAACGAGCTGGGACTTAATGAGGGTGAACCTGTTCCTCTGAGGCCACGGGCAGGAGGAGGCCGTCAGCCAGTCGTCTCCATATACATAGCCAGAGTGTTTAAGAGAGGAGCACGTGATTCGCTGTTGGCTGAAACACGTCGACCAGCCTCGAGCGGGAGAGATTAAAGAGACGTGCGCGGGGGGGGGGGTAGTCACTCCTGAGGAAGGGGAGGGAGGGGGAGGCGAAGGGCGGGGGAGGGGGGTGACACTGGAACTATTATAGGTTTATTTCAAGACCCAGCTCTAGCCTCCATTGGGGAATGCTGAGAGGTTGCTTGGTGAGAAATAGCTCAGAAGTCATTTTGCTTCTTCACCGCCTGCTGCATTTAGAATGTCTGATGTGGAAACCGCTAGAGCCATTCCCCCGCTTTGATAAGAAGAACAGCGGGGATGCCATGAGTGTTGGGGAGCCCCAGAAGATGGTTTTGCAAGGAGGAAGCGGCGGCCTGGCACACCGCGCGCTTCAGTCTGGTTCGCGCTGGTTCTCCCTATTTTTGGTAGCGCGCGGGGGGCTAGTGGAGTAACGTCAGTCATTTCCACATTCGATAGGGTTCTGAAGCAAGGGCTTGACAGTTGGCCAGGCCGATTATAGCGAGGCGACAGGGATTCGGAGATAAATCAGGCTGATAATGGGGCTGCGGCGGGTCGGCGTGCATGCCTGGTCTCTGTAAAAAGGCGAGTGGTCACGTGACAGGTTTAGGGCGGTTGCATGATCCGAGTGTGACCAAGTCATGCTGGCAGTCGTCCTCGGACGCCGTTCGGACTGACTCGTTCCCTCGCTCCTGCTGAAGCACCTCCCTCTCCCTCTCTCTTGTTCGCCCCACGTGCAAGGTACGTGTTCCAGTGCGGTCTGGCAGCATTGGGTAGGGGGCTAAAATAGGTCTGTAGGTCTACGCAACGTGCTAGCGCTGCGAGCTGTGTGTGGGGTTGGCAGGCCTGGCGAAGGGATGCGCCTGCTTGAGTGAACACGTGGTTGCTGGGACGGCGCCTCTACGCAAGGGCGATAGCATTAGATGTGTGGTAATTTACAAGGCTAATCGCACAGCGCTCACTCTCTAGGCCCCGGACCAAGGACACACTGTGTGTATTTTGTGATGTAGGAATCGGTGTCAATGCATCTCTAAAAGGAATTAATGCATGATGGTAACCTTGCCGATGTGCTTACAGCCCAACGCACATATATTATGGTAAGATAAAAAAAAATCCAAAATACACACGTTGTAGAAACCAGCTCTTTTATTTACCAGTGCTATTAATAGCCATTACGTATAGCCCTAGCAGCGTGGTGCGTGCCCGAAGCCTGACTTGTGGAGAGCTTCCTAATGGCGGGTTGACAAAAAACGGTATTATTCACTAGGGATACGAGCGGTTGTTATTTTTACATATAGGTTCTTATTATATATATATATATATATATATATGTATATATATATATGTATATATATATACATATATATATACATATATATATATACATATATATATATATATTTGTTTATGAAAGGGAAAATACATTTAGTAGAAAGATTAATACACCTTTATTGTAATTCTATTGATAATGATAATGTTAGTATAATGTTAATTTTTGTATTGATAATGTTATTGATAATTACGATAATAATGATGATATTTATAATAACAGTTAGAACCATAAACCATTAGTATTTAAGACTGCATAATAAAACGATTTCAAAGAAAAACCCAGTGAAAAGGGTGAAAAGGAGGCCCCACAGCTGTCGCAGCCGATGATCACACACAGTTTATCTCGTGAAAGGCTGCCAATTACTGGGCGATTTAGGGAGCTCGTTAAAAAAGCCTTTATAGAACATACTTTTCCTAGTTTTTTAAAGAGGTAAACATTGGGTGGGTGGAGTATTTTGATCAAAATCGATGGTCAATATTTCCAGTGGAAAGTACCACTATTTTAGTGAAGTGATGTATTTGGGGGCAAGAACTGATGGAGTGGGCAATGGGCTTTTCGACAAGGGTGCGGATGGTAAGTGTCTAGTCCTAACTTTCACCTCTAATGTCTTTTTCTCTCGATTGTCTCCCACAGTTGGATCATGGTTCATTTCTCCTGTTCTCTCCGGCATCATGTCCGGCGTCATCTACCTCCTCCTCAACCACTTCATCCTGAAGAAGGAGAAGCCCATGGAACCCGGTCTCAAGGCTCTTCCCTTCATCTACGGCCTCACCCTCCTCGTCAACGTGTTCTCCGTCGTCCATGATGGCCCAAGGAGTAAGTTCAAACCGAGGAATGTTTCTCGAGGCAAAGGCCTACTCTTTCTATGCCGTGGGATTATTTTCTTGTGATATTGGATGAATACAGTTTGAGACGTCTTTCGCTTTCCCTTTTAGTGCTGCACTTCGATGTGATTCCCTGGTGGGGCGCCGTCATCACCTCCCTCGGCGTCGGATTCCTCACAGCTCTCTTCGTCCAGTGCATCATCGTCCCTCGCCAGCGGAAAGCCATTGAAGGTGAGTTCACTTCTGGTTTTCCGAGGTTCATCTCATTTGCATCTTGTTTCTCCTCGTGCCCCGCCTCTATCTCCTTATCTGAGAGAAGGTAGGCAAGGGACAAAAGTGAATCGATACACCGATCAGGATTTGCCCCCATTGCAGTAATTGTCAGATTTTGGGATTTCTTTGAAATGCATGCCTTTCGTTAAATGCCCAACAGATATTTTTCATACAGTACAGGAATCCAGGTGTAGTCAAATATGAATAGTTTATAGGGCTCGGACACTGAACTGAATGACCAAACAGGTACAAACAACTGACCTGTGCCTTTTCCACACACAGCTGATCTGGCCAAGGCTGCCTGCAAGCAAGACCACGAAGTCAAGTTCACCTTCGAATCCGCAGGTGAGTAATGAACACCAGCGTCTTCTTTCAGGTAGTCAGAAGGTTGATAAGATAAGAGCAGTATTAAAGAATAGACCACGATTTCATTACGACGTCCAGTGTATTTTAGCAGTATAGGTGCTTGGCATCGTTTGAGCATGTTTTCAAAGAGGAAAAGCATGGTGTTCCGTGACTCTAGGGTTAACTACACAGTAAGTGAAACGACCCGGCATCATTTCACATTCACTTGATAGGGACCATAGGTATAAAGGAAACGACACCATGCCAAGACTCCATCTTTTGCGCGAATAGTCTCTTCTTTTTTTTTGCAAATAATTTGGTGTGCATAATACTGAATAAGTGGGAGCTGATCGCGCTTACTTAAAAATACCATTATACATCATTTCAGACAGCCTAGAAATGGCCGAACTGTTGTATCATGAAGGTAAAATTGTTTCCGATCCCTGAAGTTGTGCTTTTTGCAGTGTTACATCAGATGCAATAACGCTATTTATCCTGCATTAACAGTGCTATTGTCTTCACCCCCCCCCCTCCCCTCCCACATGTAAAACGCTCCCGTGTGTGCCACCGCCCCCTTTCCCAAACGTTTGGCCACGTCGTCTTTAAGCAGTGACGTCACAGAAGCCACGATGTTTTCATTGGAAGATGATGACGTCACAGGGCTTACAATGTATTCATTGGGTAGCCGTGACGTCACAGGTGATTTCATTGGATGACAGTGACATCACTGAAGCTACAGTTTTCTCATTGGATGGCAGTGACGTCACAGAAGCTAGGACGACTTCATTGAATGACTTTACAAACCTTCGATGACTGCATTCAGTGGCAGTGACAGTAAAAAAAGTGTTTGGATAAGCATGATCTGCAAGCCTCCTGTTGCAATGTTCTGTTTCCGGTGTTTTAACTCGACTGTGAACTTAGAATCCTGAAAGCTTAGACACTGTGATAGATTCTAGCGACGAAAGAGACGGTAGGGATGACACAGACGGTTATTTTTTAAAAATGGTAAATGACAAAGACGATAACGGATACAAAGATAAAAGAGACAAAAAATAGCTCTTTAATGTAACGAAAAGGGAGAAAATAACAGCGGGGAATATGTAGGTCGTGCCCGCTATCCTCGAGCGGAACCGAGTCTTCTAAACTGGGAGAGGACCTTTGACAAGTGGCCAAGTGAGAGTATTTCACTTGAGGTCGACGGAGCGAGGAACCTGGCTGGCTAGTTCAGCAGTTATTCAAAAGACCATCTAACTATTTTACTTCCCCTTTCCTTTCTTTCTCTTTTTCTCCCCTTGTTTCTATTACCTTTATCATGTTTGTCTTTTTCCCTTCTTATTCTGTTTCTTTAACCTTTTTTTATTCTCACACATTTTTCCTCTTCTTTTTTGTCTTTTTTTTGTCTTTACTGGCGGTTGCTTTCAATGGGTGGTTTAGTTTAGCAATGGCTGCCTACTTTGTGAGCTCTGATGTCTTTAATCTTATAATTAATATTATAAAGAAACAGACCTCAGTTAATCTACATTTTTATCTTGGTTTAGCTGTCTGTGGGTTGGATATATAAAGGTAAAATTAGATATCCACAATTATAATGATAAAGAAGACCCTTCTCCATCATTCAGTTTTTCATGAAGATCCAGTTATCGCGTAAAAAAAAACACCCGACCTGAACTCGCCCGCCTTCTCCCTCCGCAGATAACAGCCGCTCCCCAACACCGCCGGGCCAAGAACTGTCCGTGATCGAGAAGGGCGTTTCCCCCACCACGTACACCTTCACCAGCAGCGCCACCGAGACCAACGGCTACATCCCCGCTGAGACCAAGTCCAACCTGCTGGGCAACGGCCTCAACAACACCTGCCCTTCGTCACAGTCCCTCGGTAAGGGAGGAGGTGCAGTGGGCCTCGTGGGGGTCGTTTGGGCTTGGGTGTTCAGGCTTGTGGTTCTCGTTTGTTTATTTTTTTCTTGCCTTTATGTTCAGCTGATATGTTTTTTATTTTTATTTCTTCGGGTTTATGGGAAATTGCTGTGATCTGTATGCTGATTCGGTCACTCATTTTCAATTTCTTTGCAACTGATTCGCCAAATCGGTTTTTGGGCCTCGGACTTCGCGGAGCTAACCCCCTCCCTCTCCATTCTCCCGCAGGCATCACCCACAACAGCAGTCAGGTTCCTCTCGTCAATGCCAACCAAGTCAAGATCGTCTCCATGGACGAACTCACCGACAAGAAGGAAGCTGAGACCGACAGGCCCGAGGTGAAGCGCCTCTTCTCGTTCCTGCAGATCCTGACGGCCACCTTCGGCTCCTTCGCCCACGGCGGCAACGACGTCAGCAATGCCATCGGCCCTCTCATCGCTCTGTGGGCCATCTACACCGAGGGCTCCGTGGCCCAGCGCTCCCCCACGCCCATCTACATCCTCTTGTATGGCGGCGTAAGTGTCTTTTTGGTGTTATTTGCGGCCTTTCCTTGAGATTCGTGTCAGATTTCCAGTCATATCAAAATGGAAACTCTTACATACACAGGCTTGTACTTGTGTTAGGAGAAAATTTAATAGAATGTGCGATTGCAGATTGGCATCTCCGTGGGTCTGTGGGTGTGGGGTCGCCGTGTGATCCAGACCATTGGCGAGGACCTGACCAAGGTGACTGCCTCCTCCGGATTCACCATTGAGATCGGCTCTGCCTTCACCGTCTTGTTGGCCTCCAAGGCTGGCCTCCCCATCTCCACCACGCACTGCAAGGTTGGCTCCGTCGTCTTCGTGGGCTGGGCCAAGTCCAGCCGACAGGGTGTCGACTGGGGACTCTTCAGGTGAGAGATAGATCTGCTCTTTGTGTGAGGAATAAGCACTAGATTATTTTTTTAGAAATCGGATAGTTTGTTGAAATCACATTAGCCGATTAAAGCTAATCCTTAGTATGACAGTAGAGGACTAAAAATCCTTTTCCCTCCACAGGAACATTGTGATCGCTTGGGTTGTGACCGTACCTCTAACGGCCGGTATATCTGCTCTACTCATGTTGATTCTGCAGATCGCCTTCTTGTAAACAACTCTCAGTTGCTGTGATACTCCCCAAGGGGGAAGGGGAGAGAGGGAGAGCAGACATCACCCCTCACGCATCACCAAAGCCCCCACCATCACCTCCACGATCTCTTACGACTGCTTCCTCATGTCGTGACATCGAACTCTGGGACGCCCTTGCACTGGACGCCAGTGACGCCAGGTCACTGAAGGGATCACCCAGTGCAGGTCGCTCCCTCTTCATCATTACACAACACACCAGTATTAAATATCTTCCATTATTACCCCGCGAGTCATTCACTTCGGGTACGAACTGTGAGGAGTCGCCAGTCCAGCACTGCGGGCGTGGGTAATGGGGAGAGATTGTTGTCCCTCCTTGATTGCTCTCCCGGCGACCCTGCACACGCTTCCCTGCACACCACCATCGTTACCAAACATCTCTAACTGTTGCTGCCCGAGTTCTGTCTCTGAAGCCTCTTCTCCTCGCACGGAAGCAGTATGACCCCAGAGCTTGAAGTCCGTTACACCCGCTTTATGTCGATTGTAACTATAGTATATCTTTAACTTCGTGGAAATATTCAGCAGTCCATTCGTGCACTTTACTCCTATTCCAGTTGTTAACATGCACTGAATATTAATGTCGTCTAGGTAGAGACTCGTAAACTTTCTATGTATATAAATGTCCACATACGCACTGATTGTGCAGAAGTCATGACCGAGGTGCAGCTGCTATTCCGAGGATGTCGTCGTTGCGGTCTTTCCAGCCCCGCTCTTGCAGTGAGCGACGTACCAAGATGTCACCGAAGCACACTGTTGCCAGTCCGATCGAGCAACTAGGGAGGTGAGAGCCAAAGGCAGAGCAGGTTTCTAGAGGTGTGGTGTAGTCGACGCCTCCGACTGAGCGATCTGGTGTTGATGAAGCCAGTAGATTTGTTTTCTAAAGGTAAACCAGTCGTATTTCGCGACAGCTCCTCACATCTGGCCTTATTGCTGCGTGATCAGATACTAATTTTTGACAATCAATTCCTGTTTTAATGCATCAAGTAAGATCGGTTTCTTACCATACTTTTAAGCTTATTGGCATTCATTTAGGTCACCAGAGGCTAGGAATTCTGGAGGAACTAGCTCGACTCGACTCATCCCCACCCCCTCATCCACATCCAAGAGGGGGTTCATCATTTCTCATCCAAATCGATTCATCCATGGATTGCAGACCCCAGCAAAACATGTTCACAATTATATCATTCTTATTTACCATAAATTGCGGTTTTTCGGACTTTGAAGTCGCGTAGGCCGTTATATTATTATTTTCATTATAAGGACATTGAAGCACATTTATATTTTGTAGGAACAGCGTGAGTGGAAGTGTGGTGAATACGAGCATTAGGGAATGTCTAGGTTAATATATTTTTTTTATACAGCAAGTCAACTTCATGGGAGAAAGATTTCCGGAGACTTCTTTTGAAGTTAATACTGCATACCAACATCTCTCCTCTCTTGAGAAAGTAGATTTGAAAGAGGATGATTGAAAACTTTTGCTGAGTTCATATTTTCTTGAGAACATTATTTTTGTATCATTACCGTCATTTCTAAAAACATTTAGAGTGAATTTAAGAAAATGATTTGATGAAACGAGTGAAACTTAATTGATCACTATGATAGGAAGATAAAACAGTCAGCTTTGGGTCAGTTGTAGGTTTAATCGCTCTTTCTTTCAGATTGTTGAACTTTTGATATGTTACTCTTGTTGACTGCTTTGTTTACATGTGTCATGGAAGTGGGGAGAGAGTGTTAGAACAAAACGTAATCTGTCATTTTATATATATATATATATATATATATATATATATATATATTATATATATATATATATATATATATATATATTGTGTGTGTACACACACATACATACATACATATATACATACATACATACATACATACATACATACATACATATCCATATACATACATACATACATATCCATATACATACATACATACATACATACATACATACATATATACATACACATATACATATACATATTCATACAGTTACGCCAGTGAACTTGATTCGCAAGTGTCGAGTGTTTTCCCTTGTATCTTGAGAATATTTTGGACTCGCAAGAAGTCTCCGCATGCGCATAGCGGTGCTGCTCAGATCCCCTGCGAAGCCATGCCAAGTCAGGACAGGTCGGGGTAGGGAGTCAAAGGGATAGGGAGGGCAGGGATTAGGGTAGAGGGAGTCTTTTGATAAACTAAGGATTAAGGGAGGGATTTTACTTCATGCCACAAACTAGTCGTGTTTTTATTTCAGAAGGGCAAGGGGAATATAGGCTTACTGAAACTGCTATTTTTCATTAATTTTATATTTTGTATATTTTCGATGATTGAATCTGCTTAGTTAATTTTCTGTGTGTGGAAGGAAGGAGAAACAAGAAAGGGGATACTTATCAAGGACTTTGCAAAGAAAAGAGATTGGCCGTCTTGCATTACAACACAGCAGAAAAAAAGTGTCATGTATTCAAAAGCTTTCCGTTTGGGCCTCCAGTCCACATGATTATAACTGTTCCGATACTTCAGTTCCTAACATCTTGTATATGAATGTATATGCATACATATATGTATGTATATAGTTATATATGTAACTACATATATATATATATATATATATATATATATATATATATATATATATATATATATATATATATATATATAATTACACTCTTGCAATATGTATGCAAGTAAAAGTTTGTTACGCAAAGTAATTGCTATCGAGACGGCAATATTTATTTCATATCTCAGATAGGCAGGTGCCAGTTCGGTATTTATCAGACTCAATTCTTTTTTAATGTAAAGTCATTCTGATTCACTATGGAATGAATGGTAATGCTTGTTATTTATTTTTTACTTATTGTGCTCTTTCATGCTATTTTTATATAGATTTGTGGCATACAAGAGAAGGGCGCCTATGTGTCCAGCAATGTATCAGTCCATATTTATAACTTTGGTAGAATTTGTATATTTCAGTATTTCTAGTTTATATATTCTATTGTCCTACAGTTTTTATTTTGTTCAGTTGATTATACTGACTCCTTAACATATATGAATGACTGAACTGTACTATATTGTAAACTCTCTTTGCGCAGAATCATGTAATATTCCTTAATCTCATTTATTTAACTAATGTAATTTGTAAGTCTGAAATGAAGTGTTTACTTACCTTGACATTTTCCTTTCAACCATACAAAAGCAATAAATTTATTCATCCAGGACTTACAGGTTGCAAAGATAGACTTTAAGTTTTACTGCATATCATTTCATCTCTTTTGTGATTTTTTCTCTTCAAGAGCCTTTTCTTTATGAAAGTAGCATTTCCATTATTGTCAATAGATGGCCTCGTGTCACAGGCCTCTAAAGCATTTTTTATCACTTATTTTATATATATTTAACCCGAGTCAGAGCATGATGTACTGTGACAACATCATTTCAAGAGTTCTGTCTTCAGGGCACATAATAATAGTGAATAATAATGATGATGTGAATTATGTACATTTTGTCAGTCTGGAAAAATAAGGAAAATAAAATATATAATTAACTGTCAAGGAAATTTTTTTGATCATTTCGTTTTTGAGGATCAGTATTTGCTAAGAACCCACAGCAACATTTGTACAGAATGAAATAAAAATATTTTGTTTTTACTCTTCTGTTTTACTTCTAACCAAGACTCCTTTTGGGGAGGGAGGGAGGGAAAAAAAAAAAAAAAAAAAAAAAAAAAAAAAAAAAAAAAAAAAAAGCCTCTGACACAACTTAAAATATCAAACATATTACACATTTTACATGTGAAGCACATGTAGGGGACTTGCTATTAAAAGAGTATTCAATAAAAGGTTTGAAAAATAGATGCATCAGATATAGAGAACCATACAATGTGCTGGCATTTTCCTCAAGCCAAATGACCAGCATTCACATAGGGCCTCATTTCGAAGAAACAGGTGTGGTAAGATAGGACAGCTAAAACTATTGTGAAATTACGTCCTTAACAATCAAGACCATAACACTCGAATATCCAATTTTATTTGGTCAAATGTTTGCTTTCATATAGGCTTTGTAGAGGTTTTTACTGAACTCCTAAAGTACACTAAAATTCCAGAATGACTGCAAATAAAAATGATTTTCTTTTTTCTTTTTATTTTTATTTGCATCTACAACTCTCAAAAAGTTCACCACAAGACAAATCACTGACAAGTAAACCATCATTATAAACACTTATCCATTGCATACACTCTGAAAAGAAAAAAGGTTGAGGGGAAAAAACATACAACGAGCATAATCCATTCACATTTCTAGTTACTCAATGGCTGACATACAGCTTCACTCAGAATAGAACAATCATTAAAGAAGTCACCAACTGTTATGGTAAAATCATTGTGCTTGAACAATCACCATTTTTCCAGCTAAACATATTCCCTACTTTTGAAGTCATAAATGTACAGTTGAAAATGGAATAAAACAAAAGAGAGACTTGTAGAGATCAAAACACTTACTTAAGAATTAATCTGCCTTCATCCTGCTTCATCATCCTAATTTCATACCTAGGTATCTTGCCGAATAAACACAACAAAAAAGGCTTTAAGTAGGAAGTTCTTCCTTGAGTTCTGAAACACTTGGCACAATTTCTGTTTGAAGATTAACATAATGTTGAACTCTTCTAAGCAACTGCTGTGAAAGTGAGCTCAAATAAGCGTACATATTGGCCATTTGGCTGCGGGTGATGCGCTCGTCAGACCTGGAATCCCCAGTCACTAAGATTTTGCAAGGGTTTTCACACTCCTGCCAAACCCCCAGTGTGAACACCAGCAACTCAGCCTTGGGAGCAGGTTTACTGTCGCTGACCTGCATCTGCGCAGCTGTGATAGCCATCTCATGCTTCAAGGGGTTGCTGTTCACCTCCTGAGGAATTTTTTTGGACATCATCTTCCGACCGATCCACAGTTTTGATTCTGATGTGCAATCTAATTGAGCCACGCGGCGGTACTTCATGGCGACGGACACACCAACTCCATCTCGAACTTTCCTCCGCTTGCCAGATTCAGAGTCATCTTCTGGACTCTCAGATTTTCTTTTCTTGCTTGAAGATGCAACCTCGACTATTGATACATCAATCTTGAGACACTGCTTCAGTACAAAATGAATTAAACTAGAAGCAGCTTGTCCAATATCATTTGCTCCAGTCATTGATCCTTTACCTCCAGACACTTCCCCATCTGCAGTAACTGTGAACTCAGTGCAATTTGTAAAATCCAGGGGATATTTGTACAGTTTTTGCTCTGGGCCAGTCTCTGCTTGGTTCATTACTAGCTCCAACTCCTCTGAGGTTTGAGATATCACTCCATTTAACTCCATTTCCTTCTCTTGTACACCATTCGCTGTGGCATCATTCTTTTTCTCATCTGAACTTCCTTCATGAATAATCATAATGTCACTAATGTCTACTACCTTTTTAGCTTCGGTCCCAATAGCAGTGCTTGTCCCAGGCACTGGAGACACTGAAATTTCTCCTCCTCCATTCTTCTTGGGAATGTCTAATATCTCAATGGAATCTTGGGACGTGTCTGCATCTGAATCATCCAGAGTGATAACTTCTTGAGATTGGTCAATTTCCTCAGGGCTCTCATCATCTGTGATTGTGATCTCTGTCAAGTCTTCAGAGGAAATTTCAATTGGCTCTAGCAGTTTTCCAAGAGACTCTTTGCCTTTATGTATGTCACGGCAAATATCAGCCGCTCTTCTGCACTTCAACTGAAACTCAGCCAATGGAGCATCACGAAGGCCTCTTGTGATGTTATGACTATGCTCAAAAGGATCTTGAACACAAATGGGTGTATCTACTTGTATGTTTACATCCTGCCTACAGTAAATCTCCAAACAAGATGGCAACTTCCTAAGATTCCTTTCTTTTACGCTTGATCTTTCTATCAAAAAGCCAGCTAGAGGGCACACCATCCATTTTTTTGCATCAAACTTTCCATAATATTCAAAGAACTCTGCTATAAGTTCAAAGATACTTGTATTGTGTCTTCTCTCATTCCATTCAACAACATTCCGTCCAAAGCCACAGTCCCAGCCACCTACAATGCACTGACCAGCCATGTCCCCTTGGTACAGTCTCTTTAGATGGGCTACTGATGGCACAATTGGGTCACTTCGGGACATCAGGACGAAAAGCATGAGCATTGTAAAGGCATAGTTGGTGATCAGGGTAGCTGGTTGTCCACCCCCGGTTATTCCCTGCAAATAAAATTCATTTTCAAATCTTTGAAAACAAAAGCTATATCAACATAATGAAAAAATAATCCCTCTATACAGAGAAATACTGCTTTGGACAAAATGTACTCTTTATTCATTCCCAATACTCCCAATTGAATACAAATAACACATACATGCACTTCAAGTTAATTTACACAAATTTTATAACAAAGCCTAACATATTCACATACCTGAATTTTTGCCCAGTATCTTATGATCATGAGGTATGGCCGCACAAGGTAATGGGTGCGAGTATATTGGCAAATGAGGGCAGTGTTATATACAGGCATACCGTGCTTGAAAGAGAGATCAACCTGCAATCTTGTCACAGAATCTATAAACTTGACAATTGGGACTCTTGCTCGAGCAACAGCACGAACCTAAAAATAAGAGGAAAGAATTCATTAAGATATATACTATGACTACATCTACATTCTATTCCATATCTAGATTTCTTTGTTCAAATCTCTGCAAACATATCAGAATGAACACTTGAGGGGCAATTCTACGAACATTTATCCCCCGCCGAGATCTTCGAATTTCTCTTGCTAAGTACCACGTCAAATCACTGGCTTTGCAATCCATCTCACCTGCAGGGAGGAAAATGGTCCATTACAAATACAAATAGTTACAAAACACAAGTCATAAAAATATGCAAATAGGAGGGAGGGAAGGAGAGAGGAGAGAGGAGAGAGGAGAGAGGAGAGAGGAGGAGGAGGAGGAGGAGGAGGAGGAGGAGGAGGAGGAGGAGGTGGTAGGGAGAGAAGAAAGGAGGGAGGGAGGAGGAGGGAGGAAGGGAGGGAGGGAGGGAGGAGGAGGAGGGAGGGAGGGAGGGAGGGAGGGAGGGGAGGAGGGGGAGGGAGGAGGAAGGGGAGGAGGAGGAGGAGAGGAAGAGGGAGGGAGGAGGGAGGGAGGGAGGGGGAGGGGAGGAAGGACAGAGGGAGGGAGGGAAGGGAGGAAGGAGGAGAAGGACAGAGGAGGGAGGAGGAGGAGGAGGAGGAGGAGGAGGAGGAGGAAGAGGAGGAGGAGGAGAGGAGGAGGAGGAGAGGGAGGGAGGAAGGAGGAGGAGGAGGATAGAGGGAGGGAGGGAGGAAGGAGGAGGAGGACAGAGGGAGGGAGTAAGGAGGAGGCAGAGGACAGAGGGAGGAGGAAGGAGGAGGAGGAGGACAGAGGGAGGGAGTAGGAGGAGGAGGAGGAGGAGGAGGAGGAGGAGGAGGAGGTGGTAGGGAGAGAAGAAAGGAGGGAGGGAGGAAGAAAGGAGGAGGGAGGGAGGGGAGGGAGGAGGGAGGGAGGGAGGAGGAGGGAGGAGAGAAGGAGGAGGAGGAGGGAGGAAGGAGGAGGAGGAGGAGGAGGACAGAGGGAGGGAGGAAGGGGAGGGAGGGAGGGAGGGAGGAAGGAGGAGGGAGAAGGACAGAGGGAGGGAGGGAGGGAGGGGGGAGGGAGGAGGAGGAAGGAGGAGGAAGGAGAGGAGGAGGAGAGGAGGAGGAGGAGGAGGAGGAAGAGGAGGGAGGAAGGAGGAGGAGAGGAGGAGGACAGAGGGAGGGAGGAAGGAGGAGGAGGAGGGAGGAGGGGAGGGGAGGAGGAGGAGGAGGCAGAGGTAGGAGGAAGGAGGAGGAGGAGGCAGAGGGAGGAGTAAGGAGGAGGAGGAAGGAGGAGGAGGAGGAAGGAGGAGGAGGAGGAGGAGGGAGGACAGGGGAGGAGGAAGGAGGGAGGAGGAGGAGGAGGGAGGGAGGAGGAAGGAGGAGGAGGAGGAGGGGAGAGGGATAGGAAGGACCATAAGCAGAGGCGAGGACAGAGGGAGAGCAGAGGATAAGGAGGAGGAAGGGAGAGGGAGAGAAGGAAGGAGGGAAGGAAGAGGAGGAGGAGGAGGATGGAGGAGGAATAGGAGGAAGATGAGGAGGAGGAAGAGGAGAAGGAGGAGGAGGAGGAGGAGAAGGAGAGAGAGGAGGAGGAGGAGGAGGAGGAGGAGGAGGAGGAGGATTAAAAATAGTAGAGGGAGAAGTATCAGGAAGAAGAATAGCAGAAGGCATAATCAAGATAAAGGGGGGGAGGAAATAAGAATAAGAATTAAAAAAAAAAAAAAAAAAAAAAAAAAAAAAAAAAAAAAAAAAGTTAACCTACTTTTCGATCCCTGCGCCCATGGATCTACTCCAAGATCCATGTAGAGATCCACGTCACAGCCAACAAAGCCCAAGTTATTGGCAGAGGATCCAAAGACATAGGCAAACACCTTTGGAAAATGTGGTGCGAGAAAGTCCATCATACTTTTCCTGGAAAAAAAGAAAGAAAGAATGCAACATCAGATCAATAATACCAAGAACAATTACAATTAGAACAAGGTCAAACAGACCACTTATTTACATACATTTTTGTCGTAATGCTGGCTTCAAAAATTCAAGAACATGCTAATCTATGTCATCATTTAAATTTCACATTAATTCTTTTCTTCCTTGGTGTAAAATACATCTTGCGAATAGTCTATAACAAGAACACAGCACCACAGAATGACTCCTTCACAAAGGACCTAGTACCCACCCTTCAACTTGCAACCCATAAAAAAAAATGAAAGAAAAAGAGAGAAAGAGAGAAAGAAAGAAAGAAAAAGACATTCCTACCTCAGATATTCCCTGCATTGGTAGTCCTCTGGCCGAAGCTCTACTTCTCTAATAATGGAATAAATCTGGTTGTCGATCTGATTGGCAGGCACTCTCTGCTTCAGCATGTTCTCTAAAAATTGACTAAGCACAAGAGCCTCAGCACCTGTCGTAAAAGGGGAAAAAAAGGCATAACTGAAGTGAAATTTGACTACATAGTTTAGCATAGACAAAAATACAGATTAAAATAAAGTGTTTTAATCCTTTTGTTTTTCACAAGATCAGAGAAAAAGAAAAAGAAAAGGGAAAAATATATATTCTTTAAGAAATTCTATAAATAAAATATCACATGGTCTACTCAAATACTTTCATTCACCTCTCCATGAAATAGGACATGGGGATCACTCACCATCATTCCGTGAATTATTCTGACGTTTAGCACTAACTTTCAAAGGTTTGTTTCCTATGCTAAACTTCTGCTTTAGCACTTCCTGGGCTATGTCCCTGAAATGAAAATCCAATTTTTAGATCCTGCTCATGACCAATCAAAGAGCATTCTAAATCTAAATCTACCAGTTATAAAATAATCCTTTCCAACAGTTTACTAAAACCAATATATTCTTAGGCGTAAGAAGAAATCATATAAAGGTGTTATCAGATAAACATCAAATCATTCAATTAGAAATTAGCACTTACTATCTCCTCTGTCCTCTCTCCTCTACATATAATTCATCATATTTCAGACTCCAATATCAATAATAAGACTATTCAAAATATATAAGCTCTGTGTATAGAAATCAAATATGCAATATCAGGAAAGACTGATATACAATAAATAAAAAGAAATCAAGAATAAGAGAATGAAAACAATATATTGCTTTAGCAAAAAAGTCAAATAAAGAAGATATAGCTGAAATCAATACATTACAATGAAGTTTAAAAAAATAAAAAATGGGAAAAGAAAATTAAAGAAAGAAGGGAAAAGAAAAAATAATAATAATAAAAAGGAGAAAGAAATTTACTTACACAGTATCAAATTCAATAAAGGTAAACCCTTGCTGGTAATTAACATTCCGCACTCTGTGCTTCCAAAAGGCCCCTAAAATAGTTTCAATTTGGGTGTTTGCATCATAACCTGAAAGGAAAAAGAGTTTCCTCTATTATGGATAAAAAGGTAAAAAACATTTTCCCCCCTATTTTAAAAGATGTAACAGATGAAATACAGGAATCTGGGGGCTTCTTATCTTAATTTTCCTTATAATATATTGGTTGCAATACTAGATTTACATACAATATTTCGTACAAGCTAAAAAACATTTTCCCCCCTATTTTAAAAGATGTAACAAAGCTGCAACATGTAAGTACTGTATGTCTTTAACAGTAATCATTAAATCAAACAACTTTACAGTATAATTTTTACAAACACAATCAGCATGAAAGAAATTAGTTAGTTGAAGGCAAAGAGAGAGAAGCTCATCAAATTCATAGCTTACCTGAGACATGAACTGTGCGGCGTGCCACATCACTAGCTGGGGGTTGGTTCCTGTTTTTGAGATTTTTCTGGTGGCGTTTGCCCAGTATGTGAGTTATGTACACAAGCTTGTCAAGTGGCCCAGTCTTGCAAAAGAAGCAGTTCTGGCTTTCCTGTTTCGGCTTTTTGGCAACTTCAGCCATTCTGCATTTATTGCACCCTGGATATTCTACTCCGTAATGTTCATAGATTGCCAAATGGATCAACTACGTTCACTTTTATCAAACAGATGTCAGTTTCATTGCATATTTTTGACAAAATGCTACACAGCTCCCAGTCTTAGAGCACACACTAGAAAGACTATCTATTCTACTTCCACATAATGCCCATCCAACACAGAGATATCTCATTGTTGAATGGAGTCTGCTAAAATCAGTAATAAACTCTACACAAAAATCACTTTGAAAGAGAACGAAAAAAGAAAAAAACTTCCTTTTTAGAAATTACAGTGTGAAAGAATCTTTTTCTGTATAACACTTTCTCATTGTTCATTTCAACCATTCATGGTTCAATTCTCTCAACTCAGGCTCAGAACACTTGGAACTAATACCTGCTGTGCTCTTTAAAGACGGTTTTCACCTGTGGAAATTTGGGAATCTTTAGAAATATAGCTCATATTCAATATACACTATAAGAATGACAAACAACATAGCTTTCAAAGTTGTCCCATCTTACCTTAGGAGATTAGTTATTATGGGAGAGATTTGTATAGTTACCAATTATTTGGCATAATATAGCATCCATAAGCATAAACTACACATTCTAGATGAAGTACCTGTTCTCTTGTCTGTAACTTTTGCAAAGTACTTTGGAGGCAAAAATCCCTCTTCATTACCCGGACACAATATCACATTGTTTGCAGACTTGTAGAATTTATAACCATCTGCAAGTAAATAAGAAATTCATTACAGTCTAAATGTATAAAGCAATTAACATACAATAATATAAATGAAAGGTGTGTTTTTTTTCTTCATTCTTGGTCTTCCATCTCCTTCCTCTTCACACACTTTCACACCTACCCTCCAGTGCCTTGGGCAAATTGATCCAGATGTACAGTTGGCAGGATGTGCGCATGCCACTTATTACAGCCGAGTCTCCTGGTAAACCTGGGGCAAAATGAATGTGTGTCCTATTCATGCGACTCAGACCCTGCTCCTTGATGCTAGGCCAATGGCGGTAATATGTTCCGTGGACTACCTCTAGCACCCTGTCCTCAAGAGTGATTTCTGTCAACTCTGGATCTTCTACCTGATGAACAATGAAAAGCATAATTTTACTAATGGGAATAAGAATCACAAGATAACCTTTCTTTAGTAATGCAGATTTAGTGCCCAGGTTATGGCAATGATTTACTGTCATACCATAGAGTGAACAAGATCCTTTATTTCATACAGAATTGTACTGAACATAATTTTTCTTAAATCAATCTACTCATTAGTGTTAACAGTCTGATTGGTGGAGCAGTGGCATGGTTTTGGTGCTGTTTTCCAATATCACTCAGTACAACTCCTGCTGCCTGGACACTAAAATGTTTCCTCACTTTCATAGCTTTTGGTCTATTCATCATAGATTTGTTTTACCATCATCTCTTAGGGCTAAATAGTTTAGGTATACTGGTCTGTTTTAACCCCTACAATCGGGGTGACATTACGGTCCTATCATGGTGCAGGTTGCATCACAGAAAATTGAAAATTATGAAAAAATGAGATAGAAGATACAAAGAACCAAATGCTATTTTTCTCTTCTTTTTTTTACACAGAAAGATGATATGGAGTCTGTGTAAGGAAAATAATCTATTACCATCTGGATAAAGCAAATCAAAAGATAAATATGGACATTGGAAAATGGAAAAAAAGCTGAGAAAGTTTATGCAAAATAACTTTGCAAAGGGGGGGCAAAGAGCCTTGTCACTGCTCATAGGTCTTCACATGCACCCAGCCACTTGGCCCATAATTTCAGCACTGTGATTTCCGTGACACAACCGGATCCAACATACATGAATACAGAAACTGTTGATGTGATAGACATTCTGCATACAATAAAACATAGCTTTGTTTTGTGAAATGTCTCTACAAATAGATGGCTCTGCAAGTGCACCAAGGAGTCAATTAGTAAAACTAAGGACTTTGCATGATTTCACTTTTCCTTGAGTTTTAGGAAGTGTTGTTGTTGTTGTTTTTTTGGGGGGGCTACCAATGGCAGTGCTGTTATATTTATCATTAGAAACGTTATAATGTTATTAACATTTCTAATAGCAATACAAGATTTAAAAAATATATATCTTCCAAAAAATCAAAGAAAAGGGTTAACAGGTGAGATACAAGTTACTAGCAATTGACTTCCTAGTAACTAAGTACTTGTGGAACCATCTATGTCTTAAGAAAATTAATAAAATAAAGTCACAGTGGGCATGGCATTTCAGTACATGCCATCCCAGGCAGCAGTGGGTTAACCCACTAACAACGGGTGTCCCACATATGAGACACCCAAAAAAATAAACATTGCCGGGCGTCCCGCTAGTGTGACACTATATTGGGGCTCGCGCTCCGACGCAGCAGCGGGCCGCGGCCAGCGGGCAGGCAGACTCCGGGGCAGCCCCACCCACCGATTTTGTAGCCGTCCGGAATCTTTTATTTTCGGCTACAAAATATACCGGCGTTAATGGGTTAATATCAATATCATAAATATCTTTTGAATAAATTGGTTATGAACCTAAATATATTGGCTACAATAATAAAAAGATGTGCAATTACTCCCACATGAAATTAGGTGTTTTACCTGAGGACAATACTGTCAGATGATAGGAACTGTGACATAGCCAACAGGAGTAATTGGAAGTTGCAACGGCTGTTTTATTTATAAGTTACAACTACTGCTTTATTCAAAGTGTGATGAAATCATCATATCTCCACTTTGTCTGCATCCTTTTCATTCTATAAAAATTAGCTAAAACTTCAACTATTTTGCTTGACCAATGTAAAAGTTCACAAGCATTGTGGTATAAGGGTGAAAAAAAAAAATTATGGCTCAGTCATTTGCCATTTAAGTATTACCAAAAATGTGATAATTGTCCTTGATGGGAGCATGCTTTACAGACAAATCTAGGTGATACAAAGAGATATATGATAAAAAAATATATATATTAATAGGAATAATTTAACATACTTGTATTGAATGCCCTTGGTTAGCCTTAATGTAGTATACACCATCCTCTTCTTTTAGACCAAATCTTTGCTTGGGACAACTGATAACAACCTCTTCTATATCTTGCACTGTCACCTGATAAATGGTGAGAAACATATTAGATAAAGTTAAAGAATGTATATAAATACATAAATAAACTAGAAGCAGTCAGAGAGCACATACCTCCACTAGAGCAATAGGGTCACTGATGCAATTAAAATATTCACACTTGAAGAATTACATTAATTAGTAACATCTGTTTCTTGCATCTTGCAATGCTAATGAATCCTCTAAAAATTCCTGTACCTGGATCATCATCAAAATCTAATAGCATTTACGCTAGGCTGAGACACACCTCTGGTAGTAAATTCATAAATTGTTCATAACTTTTTGAGTTATTTTGCTAACCAACCCTGGATCTGGATCATTTTGTCCATATATCTATCAATCTATCTCTCTATCTATTTATCTATCTATCTATCTATCTATCTATATATGGTTTCATAAAATTAACTTCATAAATACTGACTTACTCTCTTGAATTTTGGTTTCTTGAGGACATCATCAAGCTTTGCCCAACCTCCGGGCAACAGTTCCAGGCCTTCCTTCGCTGCCCCGTGACGGAGCAACCAAGAAAGAGCTTTGCTTGTCTTCACTTTACTATCTCCCTGCAAAGGAAAATCAGCCATTAAGCTACTGGCTTGAATCTTTCTACCAGCTTTATTCCTTACAATGGTTTGATTCTCTCAACTGGCTTGGTTCATGCTATTGCCTTGATTCAATTCCCTGCTCTGCCAATTAAAATACTGTAGCTGGTGCAAATGCTATATAAAAATCATATTTATATATTCATATATATATATCATATATATATCATATATAGCAAGAAAGATAGATAGAGAGATATACAGATAGATAGACAGATATACATGTAGATAAGCTTAGATAAAGAGATAGATAGATACATACATATACATATATATTCATATATATAAATACATAAATATACAGACATGTGTGCTCATACATGCATGCGCACGTATGCACGCGCGCACACACACACACACACACACACACACACACACAGACACACAGACACACACAACACACACACACACACACACACACACACACACACACACACACACACACACACACACACACACACACACACACACACACACACACACACACACACACACTCATGCACATATATATATACACACATAAACATGAAAAGCCCACGGCGAAAAATTCAACAGAATTTACCATGCTTTCCTTCTGTTAACTACATATATTTCTGCAATGTCAGTATGTAATATGAGGTGGAAAAAGGCACATACAAATGGAAGAAATAAAAATTGAGTTTTGTAGTATAAAATTATCTTATCCCTTTTATTTTAGTAAAAAAAAGGAAATCATCATCATCATCATCATCCTCATCATCATAACAAATAAAAAATATGAGAAAATCACACACATACTTATAAGGGCTAGCTATGCCCAAGGTATCTTGGTTTGTAGTTCCACAATACATAATCAAATGGCACCACA